TCCTTCCTTTCATCGGCTCCTCTAGTTCCGTTCCATCCCTTGTAATTTTTTCCTCTTTTAATTTTGATACCTCTTTATTGACTTAACAATAAAAAAAAGACGTATTGTTTTTAGACGACTCGTTTGATGTGCGTTGGGGAGAATGGGGTTTGGGCTGAGGGGAAGGAAGCGCTTTGTAACCAGCAGGTTTATTATTTTGCCACGTGTATTTTATTTGTTTATTAAACACATAGTTTCCCCCATCTTATAGATAGATAACCTCTACTGTCTTTACTTTACTGGCACACCTTAAAAACGAAATTCCGTTGCCTGCTCTCAAAAGTGTACGCATAGATTGTTGTTGTTGTTAGTTGCGAAGTCGTGTCCGACCCATCGTGACCCCATGGACAACGTTCCTCCAGGCCTTCCTGTCCTCTGCCAACTTCTGGAGTCCATTTTAAGCTCACGCCTACTTCTTCAGTGACTCCGTCCAACCACATAGATAACACACATATAAACATGCTATATACATACGTACGTATATACCTATATATCTTTATAACTAAAGCGGCTCCCAATCAAAAGCCAAAGCAGGGTAAAAGCCATATTAAACTAAAAAAAAAACCAGATAACCACATTGAAAATAATAAAAACCCGGTGCTAAGTCATCAGACTTCTGATCTGCAGTAACCTCGTGTTATCCCAAGCCAGGTCTTCAAAACTTTCCAAAAGACGAGGAAGGTAGAGGCCTGCCAAATTTCAGGGGGCAGTTTCCATAGGGCAGGGGCTGCCACCGAAAAAGGCAGGCTCCCCCATCCAATGACAATATTTGGGGGTAAGGACTCGGAGCAGCATGCCCGCCCTATCTGACCTGGTAGGATGGGTTAGATCAGTGATGGCGAACCTTTTAGAGACCAAGTGCTCAAACTGCAACCCCAAACCCACTTACGCATTGTCGGGGGCCGGGTGGGTGTGGCCCATTGGGTGGGCGTGGCTGCCGTGATAACGGCAGACTGGGTGGGACTAAAGAGTTCAATCAATTCCAACTTTGCAAGATCTTTTTTCCGTGAGAACTTGAAATTGACTCATTGAACCTTTTTATTTTGTACACGGCGGTGGAGGCCTAAAGCGAAAAGGTTTTATAAAACCCAGCTGAAGGCCTAGGACTGGGGCAACGGTGCGCGTGCCCACAGAGAGGGTTCTGAGTGCCGCCTCTGGCACCCGTGCCATAGGTTTGCCACCACTGGGTTAGATGTCCTCCGGGAAAGGATCCCACCGATCACCTGAATGGCATTGGCCATGTTTGGGCTAATATTGGCTCAACCACCAGCCAATGAGCACGTGAGGAAAGTTGCTAGATTCAAGACAGATCGATGGTGGGGCGGAGGAAAAGACAGGTAGTCCTCGAGTTAACGACCACAATTGGAACCCAAAATTTATCTCCCTGAGGGAAACGTTAAGCGAATTTGCCCCATTTTATGACTTTTCTTGCCACCGTTGTTTTAAGTGAAGCACTGCATTTGTTAAGTTAGTAAACCCGGTTGTTAAGTGAATCTGGATTTCCCCATTGACTTTGCTCGTGAGGAGGTCGCAAGAGGTGATGACGTGACACACACACACACCGCGGACACTGACTGTCATAAATAGGAACCACTTGCCGAGCATCTGAATTTGTGTGACCATCGGGCTGCTGCAACCGTCACTTTTTTCAGGGCCGTTGTAACTTTGAATGGTCATTAAATGGACTCTCGTAAGCTGAGGACTACCTGTATTTCCAAGAGCACCCCCAGAAAAGACACAGACCTGCTTACCTGGCGTCTGCATTGGATGGGCGGAGGTTGGGCAGCGAAGAGATCCCTGTAAATATGCAGGTGTTCAGCCATGTATGGGGTTAATACGCAAAAGGAGCACTTTGAATTGCGCTCGTAACGGGGAATCAGCACAGAACCCCAAAAATCGGTTAACGTGTGTATATGAAATATATCTTCAACAACCTATCAGCTGTCTTCTGGGGAAGCTTCTACATAAGTCTTCAAAGACAGCTCTGCATCGTGTGCATTTCAGTCCTGTACATGTAGTCCTCGGCTTAACGACCACAATTGAGCCCAACATTTATGTCGCTAAGCGAGACGTAAGGGAACTTTGTCCCATTTTACGGCCATTCTTGCCACAGTTACGTGAATCGCTTCAGTTGTTGGTAACCCAGCCGTTTTTAAGTGAATCTGGCTTCCCCATTAACTTTGCTTGTCAGAAGCTCGCCAAAGGGGATGACGTGACCTCGGGACACTGCAACCGTCATGAGTACCTGCCAGTTGCCGAGCATTTGAATTCGGAGCACTTGCCCACGGGGAGGCTGCGGCGGTCGCAAGTGTGAAAAGCAGTTCGTAAGCCCATTTTGCAGTGCTGTGGTAAATGAACAGCTATAAGTCGAGGACTACCTGTAGTTTAGCTGAACGGTGGAAGGGACATGGAGTTAACTGCTACAAAATCTTCCTGTGTTGGGATTGCAATTTGTACAACACCCGCTTGAGCATAGCCTTCCCACCTAGCCGAAGCCATGGGTCCAGGAGGAGCCCTAAATCAGAGGTCCCTAACCTATGGGCCGTGGCCCACTACCGAGCCGTGGCCTCTTGGCCACCAGAGTAGCTGGCTAGTCCGGGCACGCATATTCATGCGCTTACCACCTGTTGCGCCAGCGCTGGATGAGCCACGAGCCTTGCGCAGCGCTAGCAGCCCCATTTGCGGAACACGCATGCTCACGGCCCTGCGCGCACACAGGCAGTCACATTAGCATTTGTGCTCATGTGCGCATAAAGGTGCCTCTCTTTCACATTGGACTGCCAAGAAAGGCTGCCCTAAATCATGGAATTGCCCACCGAAAAACAAAACACAAAAGTTTGAATAACTAGTCCTGTCAATCAAGAGTGTCTGTTCAACCATCTCTTCCCAGCCAGAGTATTAACACAACACGGTGCTCCCGGGTTCAGCTTTTGTTCATTTCACTCACACAGCCCTGGAAAATAACCACAGTCAAATTACTCTGCACCCGCAACACAATCAGTTCTTTAGAATACACAGAGAGTACTCCATGAATTTGAAATAACACCAAAACTTTACCGGCTACTACAATATGTTTCAAGCACTAGTCAGAGGGATTGAAGCCACGATGTGTGGACTCAAAGGCAACTCAAAAAGAGTGGGTGGGCTTCGGGACCCATTTTATCCCACAAAGTTCTTGCTTTGTCGATTCACAGACTGTCTGTTCCTCTTGCCTGGTAGCTGGTAATGGGATTTGGGAAGGGGTTTCCCCTGTGCTCAGACCCAACTTCTTTAGATTTAGGACCTAAATTTTAGGTGATAGTTTCCTTTTGTTTCCTTCCAGTAACTTAGTTCCTTGGGCAAAGATGACCCCACCTTAGGAAAAATGATCCCATCTCTCCTCAAGGGATCTTTAAGACAAATTTCTGGAAACACAGCAGTGGCCATTTGGTAGATCTAATCCGTCATGCCCCTCTCTGTATTTCCAAAGAAGTCAGGAGGGGAAAAGATCAACCCACAGGTGACTGAGCAGCAGAGTATGGCACCCACTTCATCAAAGGCCACAAGACTGAATTCCCAGAGAACATGGCAAGGCTGGACTGGACTGGACTAGACTAGACTAGACTAGACAAGAAAATAGAATAGTAGAATAGAATAGAAAATATAACAGAAAAAATAATAATAATAGAATAGAATAGAATAGAATAGAATAGAATAGAATAGAATAGAATAGAATAGAATAGAATAGTTGGAAGGGACCTTGGGGGTCTTCTAGTCCAACCCCCTGTTCAGGCAGGAAACCCTATACCATTTCGGACAAATGGCTGTCCAATCCCTTCTTAAAAATGTCCAGTGTTGGAGCATTCACAATTTCTGGAGGCAGGTTGTTCCACTGGTTAATTGTTCTGTCAGGAAGTTTCTCCTTAGTTCTAGGTTGCTTCTCTCCTTCCATCCATTGGTTCTTGTCCTGCCTTCAGGTGCTTTGGAGAATAGCTTGACTCCCTCTTCTTTGTGGCAGCCCCTGAGATACTGGAACACTGCTATCATGTCCCCCCTCGTCCTTCTCTTCATTAAACTAGACATACCCAATTCCAGCAACCGTTCTTTGTATTGTCCATATGTTTCAACAAACCGCCTATACAGAGACAAGACTAGCACATCTGAGCAATATTTATTTGTCGCATGAAGCATCAGGCACTGTGTCCATCATTTTGCTGATTCAGCTCTGCATTGCCTTGGTCTGAACTATGCAAGATGCTTCTGAGTAACCAAATCAGAAACCGCTGGGAATTAGCCCAACATCTTCATAGGAAATATAGCAATAATGTCAAGACTTGACATTTGAGGCTTTGGTGCCTTTCTATGTACTTTGTTTGCACAAGCAGGAGCTATTTCTTGCTATCCTAAGTACAGAAAACTGAAGGTGTGAACTCATCCCAGGCAAAGCTTAAGATGTTTTGATTTGCAGCTGTTGAATGCTTCCTTCAGCCAGAGGCAGCATGACAAACGGCATAATTACGACTAAGAGTTGCTTGCTTTAACAAAAATCAAAAGTTACAGCTCCCAGTGCAGGTAGTCCTCGGTTTACGACCACAACTGAGTCCAAAATTTTTGTCACTAAGCGAGCATGCTAAGTGAATCACTGCAGTTGTTAAGGCAGTAACACAATTGTTAAGTGAATCTGGCTTCCCCCATTTATTTTGCTTGTCAGGAGGTCGCAAAAGGGGATGACGTGACCCCGGGACACTGCAACCGTCATAACTATGAACCAGTTGCCAAGCGTCTGAATTTTGATTACATGGCCATGGGATGGGGCAACGGTCGTAAGTGTCAAAAACGGTCAGAAGTCAGCTTTTTCAGTGCCGTTGTAACTTCAGACGGCCACTAAACAAATGATTGTAAGCTGACAACTCCCTTTATGTGTTCGAACCACAGAGTGATAGTGTATGTATTGATCTAATTCAGTGGTTCTCAACCTTTTTAATGCCGCGACCCCAACCGGTCATAAGTCGAGGACTAAACCGGTCATAAGTCGAGGACTACCCAACTGGTCGTAAGTCGAGGACTTTCCCTGCCCGGGAGCGCCACGCATGCGTGGTTCCGCCCCCTGCGCCAGCCGAGGCGTAGCTGGCAAGCGGCAGAGACGGAGCAGGCCGACCACCAGCTGGCCCAGCCCAAGGGAGGTAAGGCACCCGCCGGAAAAGGGGGAAAAAATAGCGGACAAAAAAAATGGCGGACAGACTTGCTTGGCGACCCCTGTGAAATGGTCGATCGACCCCAAATGGGGTCCCGACCCACAGGTTGAGAACCACTGATCTAATTAATATAGCATCCTGTCTCAGGCAGTTGACTATGAGTGAAATATCTGTAGTTCCACATCATTTCAACTCTGGCATGTTTTTTCTAGAAACGACCCATTTTTCATTTCTCTGACTTCTACCAAGGAAATGCTTTTCCTTACTTACTGGTTACTATTTGAATGGCTAGCAAAGTTCCATTCTGGAAATATCAATTCTGTACACAGTAAGGCTAAGATCTATCGGTTCTGAGTTCATACATCTTTACCTACACCCATGTGTTATTTTCAGACCTTCCATTTAAGAGTATATGGTTGGAAGCAATGATAAAATAACATATAGATTTAAAACCAGAGATATTCTTATTGGGCATGTTACCAGGGAACCATAATAAAGGTAATACATACTTAGTTTTACATATATTAACAGCAGCTAGAATAGTATATGCACAATTTTGGAAAAATGAAGAAACCCCTATAGAAGAGAATATAATAAAAAAAATACTGGAATGTGCAGAAATGGATAGGTTAATGTTAAAAATTAAAGAAAAAGAAGAAACTGAATACTATACGACATAGGACTTATTTTATCAATGGTTAGCTGATAAAAACAGAGATTAGAAAGTTGGAAATATGAGAAAATGTGGATTATGTGAGGAAGATCTATAATGGATTAGTAAATACTTTTATATACTCTATATATACTCTTTATAAAATACTTTTATATTCCATTATATACTCCATTATATATATATATATTCCATTATATACTCCATTATATATATATATATTCCATTATATATATATGTATATGTAAATAACAAAATGTGAACACCAGGAGATTGCAAAATCATTAAACGTTTTAATAAAACACTAAAAACCTTTAAAAGAATTTTAAAAAGGGACCTAGCTTTCGTTGGATCCTACCAACATCATCAGGGCACAAATAACTCAATGGGAGAAACTATTACCCATTACGAGGTCTAGAGGTCAGGCGCAGGCGCTGGCTGGTCTATAAATAGTTTCTCCCATTGAGTTATTTGTGCCCTGATGATGTTGGTAGGATCCAACGAAAGCTAGGTCCCTTTTTAAAATTCTTTTAAAGGTTTTTAGTGTTTTATTAAAACTTTTAATGATTTTGCAATCTCCTGGTGTTCACATTTTGTTATTTACCATGGATATACCCAGGAGTCATTCATCTATTTTTAGTGTTATTTTTAATATGTATGTATATGTATATGTATATGTATATACACATACATATACATACATACATACATACTGTATAACGGAGCCTGAACAGGAAATCAATGAGATTAGTCCTATCTCACCTTGATTAGATTCTACCTGGCGAACTTTTAAATAGTTATTTGTTTCTGCATCCAAGACCTTCTGAGTGTGGGGCTTGCTAATTTAAACATAGGCTGAATAAATACTGTTAAGTAAGAGAACAATTCCATTGAGAAGCAGTCCACAAAGAATAAAAATGCAAATATAAACGTTCTATCGAATTAAGCTTTAGCGTCTATATTTACATAGACGCTAAAGCTTAATTTATATAGTTTACTATCTCTATTTATATAGATGCTAAAGCTTAATTTATATAGTTTAGAATAGATTCTAAACTATATATCAGAACCGCTTCGGGGAAGCTAACAATGGCGCCGAGAAGCCTTTCTCTGGTTAGGTCTACCCATACGCTGATTGGCTAGTTTGAAACGCACTGCGCAGCATTGAATTGGACAGCCTTTATTATGCAAAATAACAATGGGCGTAGCTTAGCTTGCAAGTTTTCCTTCTGGTCGGACAGCTCCCTACATAAACCGTCCGCCTGGTCGGCAGCAAGCACTTTCTTCTTTGAGCTGCTTGTGGCGTGTCTTCGCTTAAGATGTCTGGTCGCGGAAAAGGAGGCAAAGGCTTGGGGAAAGGAGGCGCCAAGAGGCACCGGAAAGTCCTTCGCGATAACATCCAGGGCATCACCAAGCCTGCGATCCGCCGTCTGGCTCGTCGCGGAGGCGTGAAGCGTATTTCGGGCCTGATCTACGAGGAAACTCGCGGCGTCCTGAAGGTCTTCCTGGAGAACGTGATTCGCGACGCCGTCACCTACACCGAGCACGCCAAGAGGAAGACGGTCACCGCCATGGACGTGGTCTACGCCTTGAAGCGCCAGGGCCGCACTCTCTACGGCTTCGGCGGCTAAAGCTTTAATTTTAACTCCCAACAACAACAAAAAGGCCCTTTTAAGGGCCACTCAAATTTTCTTTAAAAAAAGCTGTTGGTCACGATTTAAATTTCAAAAAGAAAGCTGGGTGTGAAGGAGGAGTTAATTGTAAAATAAAGCGAAAAAAAATACGACAGACTCGGTGGGACCACCCAGTCTTTCTGCCGTCAGTTTTACGTTTCTACGTTTAACTATTAACTGGTGTGTTTTTAGCTTCTCTACGGCTATTAGCGTCGTTTCCCATATCCTGAATCTTATTTGACCCGAGCTAGAAAAACCGCATTGGTGGTGAGATTTACTATTGTAAGAATAAGCTGACATTTCTGGAGTAAGGTTTCTGGGATAATTTAAAACAAGTTTTTTTTTAGGATAAATGTTCATGTAAATCGGGCCGCAGAGATTTGCTTTCATACGAGATGCTGTGCTCGTTTGCTCACGTGTTATTTGGCGGGGTGGGTTCTCAACTCTGAACTGCAAAACTCAAACAATGCCTCGTATAATGTGATTAGGTTAAACGCATTGAAAACCTTTTAAATAAAAACGAATCATTCCCTGCCGAAACCCGGGATCGAACCAGGGACCTTTAGATCTTCAGTCTAACGCTCTCCCAACTGAGCTATTTCGGCTTCATAGAATAGGTGAGTTTTCTCTTCCGAGTTGACATATTAAAACAGGGGTAGTCAACCTTGGTTCTTTTATGACTCGTGGACTTCAACTCCCAGAATTCCTGAGCCAGCACAGCTGGCTCAGGAATTCTGGGAGTTGAAGTCCACGAGTCATAAAAGAACCAAGGTTGACTACCCCTGTCTTAAAACATTTGTCTGAGAAATATCTCTCAGGTTTAATTTAATTCAATATAAAATAATTTATATACTGGATAACTAATTGTCCCGGTATACAGGATGCACACAGGAAAAAAAAAATAGGCCGGGGGTGTGTGGGTGGAAAGCTTAAAACACACAAGATTCTCCAAAAGAAGTATCTCCAAGCAAAACAGGTCAAGGTATTATTGCTACGAGAATTCTACTTGGCCCTTCCAGCCAGCCGCTATTCTCAAAAGAGCCAATCAGACGTTCGAACTAAAAGCAACCATTGGAATGCCAAGATTCGATATAATGGAAGGCTTCGTGGCTTCTCCTCCAATAGCATAACGCTAGGGCGCTTCTCCACCAATAGCACCTGAGGATTTTGAAACGGCTCATTTGCACATGCGCCCTATAAATAAAGGAAAGCTGTTTCCGTGTCCTTCACTGATTCCACGTTTCTCCACGTTGGTCTCTCGCTGCTCAAGATGCCCGAGCCGGCCAAGTCCGCCCCGGTGCCCAAGAAGGGCTCCAAGAAGGCCATCACCAAGACGCAGAAGAAGGGCGACAAGAAGCGCAGGAAGACCCGCAAGGAGAGCTACTCCATCTACGTCTACAAGGTGCTGAAGCAGGTCCACCCGGACACCGGCATCTCCTCCAAGGCCATGAGCATCATGAACTCCTTCGTCAACGACATCTTCGAGCGCATCGCGGCCGAGGCCTCCCGCCTGGCCCACTACAACAAGCGCTCCACCATCACCTCCCGCGAGGTCCAGACGGCCGTCCGCCTCCTCCTGCCGGGAGAGCTGGCCAAGCACGCCGTCTCCGAGGGCACCAAGGCCGTCACCAAGTACACCAGCTCCAAGTAAAGCTGCTTTCTTCCCGCGTTGAAATTCCCCTTTATTTGCACCAAAGGCTCTTTTAAGAGCCACCCACTTTCTCCAAAAAAAAGCTGTTGCGCTTGATGGAAGTTTTTCAAGTTTTAAAAAAGTTTTCTTTTAGGCATAATCAATCCAAAACTGGAAAAAAAAAATTCCAATATATCACTATACCTATAATAACTGCCGCACGCCTTGCATATGCTCAATGTTGGAAAAGGGAAAACATACCAACAAATGCAATGGTTACACGTAAGATAATTAGACTGCTGAGATGAATAAACTTACTTTAGAATTAAAGGACAAAGAAATTACTGAATTCTATGAGATATGGGACATGTATTACAACTGGTTAGAATTGAGGAATAAAAAAGTACGAGAAGCAATGTAAATAAATGTAAGAGATCTAGGGCATAGTATTGTTAAGAAAAAAGAAAAAAATGTATTTTGTTTTGTGTTGTTTGTAAAGAGAAAAAGAAAAAATTAAAATTAAAAAATAAAATAAAAATAAAAAGTTTTTAAGCACCGGTTTTGCAAAATGGTTCGATTCCATGAGGCTTGCTTGGCTTCTATAGCAAGCGAGGCGTTCCTAGCAAACGCTTAAATCCGCAGGAAAATATTTTTTAGCTGCCTTGCGTTTGAATTATGATGTGGCAAATTCTTCAACTTAAGTTTTCCCAACCTCTAATAAAAAGCAATCGGGACAGGCAGTGCAAAAAATTAGTGGGTGGTTTTCAAAGGTAGATATTTAAAATCTGCTAAGGAAATGATTGGAGTTCAAAACTGTAAGGCTTTGCTTTTGTACTTTTGTGCTCTTTAAATACAGCGTGGCTTGCTTGAAAGATTTACTCATGGGGCAGAAGCTTTTTGCCAAGCGATTCTTTAACAGGGTTTGACTTTCGGGGAATTTACAAGTTAAGGTCTATGCAGGTTCTCGGTAATCTTGGTTATGGTTATCCCGACGGTGCTTTTCTCTAAGTGGCAACTGGATTTTCTTGGGGTTGTTTTTTTTTTGAAGACTTCTCATCCAAGAAGGTTAAGTGGTGGGAAGAATAGAAGGATTCAGGCTGTTCTCAATCATCCTGTTGTTAACAGTCTAAAGCAGGGGTCTGCAACTTTGACAACTTTTAAGACTTGTGGACTTCAGCTCCCAGAATTCCTCAGCCAGCTATGCTATGCTGGCTGAGGAATTCTGGGAGCTGAAGTCCACAAGTCTTAAAAGTTGTCAAAGTTGCAGACCCCTGGTCTAAAAAGTTGTTGAAAACACCTGAGGGTTAATCTGTGTCCTCAGAATCACCTGAATCAGATTGCAAATAGGTGTGGAGCCGTCTTGGGACTGGTGAAAGGGCTGTGTTGTAAACGGGTGGTGTTGTATCCTCCCCCCCCCCTGTTAAGGAAGGATTGTTCAGTTTTAACACAGTAGGCCTCTTTGACTCCTCTTTCAAACCAGCAGTCTTTTCTATCCAGACTGTGAACCTTTAAAAGAGACAATAGTCCCCATCAGTGAATTAGAACTGAAGAAGCTTCTGGGATGAGAAGCGAAACGTCTTCAATCGGAAGAGAGCTAAAGCTGGAAGGGACCTTGAAGGTCTGCTAGTCTAACCCCTTGCTCAAGCAGGAGACCCTATATCAGACATGTCAAACACAAGGCCCGGGGGCCAGATGCAGCCCCCGAAGTGGTTTCATGTGGCCCACGAAGCCATCCTGGAAACAGTGAGGGAACGGCCCCCGCTGCCTTGGCCCTGGACCAGGCCAGCCGGGAGCCAATGTACAATTTTGTGGTGGCCATCTATGCTGAAACGCACTCAGTCTTAGCTCCACAAGGCCGTCTGGAAACAGCGAGGAACCAGCCCCTGCCGCGTCAGACCCGCCCCCTGGGTGCATGCTGGGGAGGTGTCACCCTTTGTGAGGAATGAAGAAATGGACCATGCCTTGGCGCTTGCCCCGGTCCCATCCCCTTCTGCCAGAGACCCTCAGATCTGTCCCACTCCGGCCCAGGCCCCCACAGGCACCCTTGACGCGAACGATGTAGAGCTGGCCATGCCCACCCAGTAGGCCACACCCACTCCATCCACGCCCACCAGGCCCCCCCTGCTCCCCCCCAGGGCAACCTCAATGCTGATGCAGCCCTCAATGAAATTGAGTTTGACACCCCTGCCCTATATCATTTAAAGCCTCCAGTGATGAAGTACCCACAACTTCTGGAGGCAAGCGGTTCCACTGGCTAATTGTTCTCAATGTTAGGAAGTTGTTCCTTAATTCCAGGTTGCTTTTCTCCCCTTGATTAGTTTCCATCCATTGTTTCTTGTCCTGCCTTCTGGTGCTTTGGGAAATAGGTTGACCCCCTCTTCTTTGCGGCAGCCCCTCAAATACTGGAATACTGCTATCATGTCACCCCTAGTTCATCTTTTCTCTAGACCGGCCATACCCAATTCCTGCAACTGTCCTTCCTATGTTTTAGTCTCCAGGCTTTTATCCATCTTAGTTGCTGTTCTCTGAACTTTTTCCAAAGTCTCAACATCTTTTTTTTTGGTAACATGGAGACCAAAACTGGATGCAGTATTCCAGGTGTGTTCAACAAAAAATAATCGAAGACCATTTGCCCTTTGGAGTAAAGCACTTTTGAGACTTCCCAATGTTTGGTTCCAATCTATTGCTTTATAACTGTTAAACCCTCCCCTGCCTTGTTTTTTTTTTTTTTTAACTGCAGTGGAAAGTGAAAATACAGTTCATTTTCCCATGTTAAAATTGCATCTTAAGGTGACTTATATTTTCCGAAATGGCAACACTTCCGTTTCTAAGGAAAAACAGTATGCGGTGAATGAGATGCTTACTAAAAAAAAAATATTTAAAATTCCCATACAGGGAGAGAAATCAATTCAATTCTTTGGCTGAGTTAAAGATTTCAGGGACACAAAAGGGGTCATTAACAGACGTTTATCGTCTTGTCCTCGTTAGTATAGTGGTAAGTATCCCCGCCTGTCACGCGGGAGACCGGGGTTCGATTCCCCGACGGGGAGAGGCAATTTTTTTTAAATTAGCTTTTTTTTTGCAAAAATCAATGTGGCCAAAACGTCTCCTCCAAGAATTTAACCTTGCATTAAAGGTCTTGTGAAAATGTGACTCCGACAGAGGAAGAAACCTGCACGTCACTCGAAAACAGGTTTCTTTTAGAGAGTGTCTGGCTGGGGAATTCTGGGAGTTGAAGTCCACACAACTTAAAGTTGCAAAGATTGAGAAGTCCTGCTCTAAAACATAAAATATTTGATGCGTAGCAGGAAAAAAAAAGCAGAGCTTCTCTTTTAAAAAGCAAAGGAGAAGGAGAAAAAGGGGTTGTGCCCTTTACTTTGATTCATTGGCAGTGGAATTATATTTGCCTTTAAGATCTCAATGCTGTCACGTTTTAGATCTTCNATATTTGGGTCGACAGGGTGCATCAAAAAGCACTCAAGGTAATATATATGTATATATATGTGTATATATGTAGTATATGCCTGTAGTTTATATTTTCTCTCTCTCTCTCTCTCTCTCTCTCTCTCTCTCTCTCTCTCTCTCTCTCTCTCTCTCTGTAGTGTATGTTAATTTATATATTATATTGTATTACGTTTTATGTTATAATTATAATATACGTTATTTCTTCTCTGCCTGCAGTATATGCCTTTAGTTTACAAAGGCTGATGCTGGGATAAGTGCATGTAATTATGTACACACAATTTAGTACACACAGTTTATGGTCCTGGTGTGTTCCTGTGGTCAGCTTGGAGAAACTGCAAGGACCTTAGTAGGAATAAAACAAACTCAGAAAGGGAGGTACTGTGGCTACCACTCTGAACATTAAATATTTCCACAACAAAATAGCTTCACCGTTGTAAGCCAGTTTAATTGTTGTCTACTAACAAAGTCAGGGATGCAAACATAATAGTTTATCAATGAAGGGGAATATTTGTAGCTCAAGGTTGAAATGAGGGGTCCTTGGTGCTCTCTGAGCTTGCTTGTTTTCTTGCAGACGTTTCATGACCCTAACTAGGTAACATCATCAGTGCTAGTAAGGAGTGAGGTTTGCTGTCTGTTCATATTCTGGTGTCTTGCCTGTCTGTGTGGGTGGGGGCAATCTTAGGAGATTCTTCGATAGGGCTGTTTACTAATGGCTCTTTGGCAGTTTCCTTGATTGGGGTATTGCTTACTTGATTGTTGGTCTGAAGGTGACCTTGGAGTTAATCTATGCTGATCTGAGTACTAATTACTGGTGGGGAGATCTGGAGTCTTTTTCTCTCGTGGGCTGGTTGATTGTCTCTTTTGCATAGTCTATAGATGTTAATGTCTATGTGTGTCTATTGATGGCTGATTTGTCAGAGTGCCAGTCTTCTAGAAATTCCCTGGCATTTTTGGATTTGGCCTGGTCTAGGATTATCACATTTTCCCAATGGAAACTACGGTTAAATATGTCTATATATTGTGAAATTAACTGACAGCAAACCGCACTCCTTACTAGCACTAATGATGATGTTACCTAGTTAGGGTCATGAAACGTCTGCAAGAAAACAAGCAAGCTCAGAGGGCACCAAGGACCCCCTCATAATAGCTTATTATTCAGTTTATTATTCAGATTCCATCCCAGTCCTTCAGTGGGGCAATTCAAGCTGTTGTGTGAACACCCAGCTAATCATAGTTTGGATGTGTATGGCATATGCCTACAGCCTACAAAGCTAACCACCATCCTTGTGCAACAACAACAAAAAAAGTTAGGTCACGACTGCTTGAAGGAGGGTTGAGACAGAAGAGGGTTGAGAGCCAAGCAAGCGATGGATGAGTAAATATATTGAAAAGGGGGTGCAGGAAAATTTCGTGTGCTTTGGTTCCATTTGTAGAGAGATCTGTGAATGAAGTTGCTGTACACTAAATCGGTGTTTCTCAACCTTGGCAATTTTAAGATCTCAACATACTTTAGAAAAGTTGTCAAGGTTGAAATATAGGTAATTCTCAACTTACAA